TTCTACCGTATCACCATATCATCTAGTCAGCTGTTTTTTCTACACTGCATTGCCAAAGTGCATTTTATCCACAAAATATACATGACTACCGCGCGAATGGGTTAGTCCCTCCATTTGCACAGAATGAAAATCAGTACAATTCTCATTTTTATATCCAAAAACGTAAATTTCCTTCCTTCGTATTATCGGACCTTTGTTAAATATTTCTGGGTTCGAATTACAATATAAAGTATAAATCTGAACACAGTCAAATGTTGATTGCTTATTTACTGTACGTTTGCTTATAATATACCTTTGCTATTTTAACGTCTGTGTGCTCAAGTCAAGTATCGTCTCATCAATGCTTTTTATGTTTATTATAACAAGAGTATTGTAATTTACTTATGTGTAGAAAGGGGCTTGCGTAAAAAAAGTCCCGCGTAAATGGAGGGATAGGTGTGATTAATCAGGTCATCGTAATAGTTATTAACCTAACCTAATCTAACCTAACCTAAACCACGTCTACTATTAGGTTCGACATCATCAAAAAGCTCGGTCAAGGTACTTACGGTAAAGTTCAGCTGGGTATCAATAAGGAGACTGGCCAGGAAGTGGCGATAAAAACTATTAAAAAATGCAAGATAGAAACGGAAGCCGATTTGATCAGGATACGAAGGGAGATTCAGATAATGTCGAGCGTGCAACACCCAAACATTATTCACATATACGAAGGTACGTGAAGAGAATGTCCAAACGACATTATTGTTAAATTACATTTCAAAGTTGTTGCAGAAGTAATCTGTTTGTAAAATAAAACGAAATTATATTATTAAGTATTTCATATAAAAATTAAATTAATTATGTTTACACTTGTACGATTTATTTGTTACTTCCTGAAATAAATTATTTACTGTTTGCCAGGATCTTTATTTGTCATTTGATTTCGATAGAAATAACTGGCTTCTCAAGTTGTATAACGTCCAATGTGTATATTTACTATTTCTTGTTCTGCGACCACCGCATAGTTACTATGCTTATCTATAGACAGAAGTTGAAATGGATATTGCTCGATTTTTTTAGAAGAAATTTAGAATATGCTCTTACAAGTATTTGTAAAATATAATACTTTCCTCATGTATTCGTCAACTATTTGCAACTTTAACAGATGCAAATTATTTTGACTTTTATTTTTATTTCATTTTCTTTTCTTCAGTTGAATATTTTGGTTTCATTGATGTTTATTTTGAATTATTTCAAATATTATTATATTATAAAATATTATATATTTTAATATTATTTCAAATTTTCAATTGCCAAATAAACTGATTATTTTTTCAAATAATCAGTTGTTCAATCCATCATTTTCCCAATATTATTTGCATAGCCTGAAACGCCATTGATTGACGTTAATCGAAAGGCATTTTATTTGCCAAATACTAAGGAACATTATTTCAAAAATTTATTTGCAAATTATTGCTCGAAATAAATTTCTGGTTCGCCCGCTCTGATTTCAATCGTGGCGTTTTCTTCCAGTGTTCGAGAACAGGGAGAAGATGGTGCTGGTGATGGAGTACGCGGCCGGTGGCGAGCTGTACGATTACCTGAGCGAGCGGAAGGTGCTGACGGAACACGAGGCTCGACGAATATTTCGACAGATAGCCACCGCCGTTTTCTACTGCCACAAGCACAAAATCTGCCACCGAGACTTGAAGCTGGAAAACATCTTGCTGGATCAGGTTGGGAACGCGAAGATCGCGGACTTTGGCTTGTCGAACGTGTTCGACGAGCAACGACTGTTGAACACGTTCTGCGGCAGTCCGCTGTACGCCAGCCCGGAGATCGTCAAGGGTACACCGTATCACGGCCCCGAGGTCGACTGCTGGAGCTTGGGCGTTCTACTCTACACGCTGGTGTACGGTGCCATGCCCTTCGACGGGTCGAATTTCAAACGACTAGTCAAACAGATCTCACAGTCGGACTACTTCGAGCCTAAGAAACCGTCGCGTAAGCATCACTCGCGTTTACAACGTTCTCTCACGATTCACCGCGTCACCTCTTCACGTCCCTTTCTCGTTTTCTTCCCTTTCTTGTTTCTTTTAGCCGCCTCTCCCCTCATCAAAGACATGCTGACCGTTTGCCCTGCCCGAAGAGCCGACATCGAAAGGATTTGCACCCATTGGTGGGTGAACGAAGGTTACGAGCAGAATTGCCTGGACATCGCCGAGGAGTTGGCCGCTCAGACCCCCGTTCGGCTGGATCTGCTGCTGTCGCTGGTGCCGCAGTCCGCGAGCGCGGAGAAACTGGTCGTCGGGGACCAGCAGTCAGCCGGCGACGTACCCAACAACGTGTCCTCCGACACTCTCATACCTACCAGGTGCCATTCCGTCGGAAGCTTGATGGACTTGGACCAGAGCAGCTCCGACAGGCGATTGAGGAGAGAATTGTTGGAGGAGGAGCCAAGAACCGCACCGATTGTCGGGGGCGATGCAAAAAGGAAACTGGAGACGACGCCGTCGATGGACGAAACGGCTGCCGCCGATGCCAAGAGGAAGGAGCGATCTCGAAGGAAGGAGAAGCGGGACGAACCGGAGGCTCGAATGTACAAATCCGCCTCCAGGTAATTGACACTTTTCTAAGGATTACACGGTGACGTGTTTACATGGTAATTCGTAGACGAGCCTTTCCATTTCAGCGACTGTGGACACTACTGTATTTTTCTTTTCTCTCGGTTTCACATGAATTTTTTCATCTCTTGCCGTGCCTCGGCTTGCGTTGCCCTTTTACCGGCACAAAAAATGGAAAGATTAGTTGGTTGGACAATGTACTTTAGATTGTTGTTCGGATTGCAGGAAAAGTTTCAAAAAGCATCAAAGCATCAGAGAGAGATTTCACATGATAGGAGAAAGTTGGGTTTTATTTTTCAGACTGTTGGTAGACAAATAATTAAGTCATCACAGAAGCATCATATTATCATATTCAATTAGACTACATATTTTGTGAATGTTCTTGTTCAGTTAGCGCAGTAATATTACAATGATCGAGTACAAAATGTTTTTAAAGTTTTCAAACCTAGTATAGAGCACTATTATATATGTTATGAGCTTACATGTTGGCACATACCATTATCATATATGGCATGTGTACACACATATGGTCGCAATTACCACTTAAAATCTAATTATAGCGATAATATTCTATCATTATTCTATGAACAGAAGCAAACTTTTACGAGCAAAACACTAAAATCTAGGTAAGAAAAAAATAATGAAAATTAAAGAAATCATTGGCGATACAAAAGTTTAGAATGTTCGACTTCGATTATTGTTATGATTTTTTTTCAAATTTCAAATTGAAATAGAATAGTTTTTAACAGGATAACCGAGTCGATCAGTCCTGTTGTTGTTTTATTGAACCTAGTTGTCATTTTTAATTCGTTTCCTTTCTTTTATCTCTCTCTTGTAGACATCACTCGGCGCCGATTCCAAACTCGATCACCGAGGAAGAAGCTATGGAGGTGGATCCTATGATAACCGTTCCTATCAGCAAGACCATCGACTTGAACAAGATCGAATCCACGGCCGCTTGTTTAGAATTAATCAAAGAGTGTAGCGAGAGGTCACCGAGCAAGGAGAGGACATCCATGATCCACGAACAGGAGCAGCAGTCACGAATCTCGTCGGAAGATCGCGTCGCCGAGGAATATTCGCAGGATGATGAGTGCCGAGCGACTGAAGCGTCGTTGGACGACGAATCGGCGAAACATTCGGACGTCGCGCTCGACCAAACCTCGGCCGGGAAACTCTCGATTCCTAACCAACTCGAGCCAACGTCGAACGAGAAGAGAGCGCCGGCGCCCGGAAGCGAGAGGTTCGACAAGTCGAACTCGTCCGCCGGTCAGGAGGAATCGATCAACCTCGAGGCGACTCAACGGGAATTTAAGAAGCTGAAGGAGAAGGCGCTCTCCCTCGACTCGGAACTCGCCAGCGAGCCGCGTGACGCGAACGTCCCCGCGAAGACGTTCGAGCGGAGACGCTCCAAGATATTCGAGACAGCGGAGAAGTTCAACCAGATGGCTTCGACTGTCGAGAATGAGAAACCAAAGAAGATCTTTATACCCGGCGTAAACGTTGGAGGGGCGAAGCGCGTGTTCGAGAGGAAGGCCAGCCTCTCCTCGATCGGCACGCCTCCGCCCGCCAAACACACCGCGTCCAAGATAATCATCGACGTTCCAGCTTCGACAGACGCGAAGAGGAACGAATGTTCGAACGACAAGCCGACAACAAAGTCGACTCGAGCAGTCGAACGCGAGGAGGAGAAGAACGAGGAGGAGGGGGAGGAGGAGAAAAAGAAAAAGAAGGAGGAGGAGGCGAAGAAACGAGCGGTCGACATAATAACCGGTGCGATCGGGAAACCGCCGATGCAAAGGAGGATAAACGGATCTCCGCCGGTGTCACCCTCTAGCCAAGAGTCGAAGAAACTTTCGTCCAAGGTGGCAACTGGCGCGAACGACTCGCGTTCAACCGCGCAATCCACACCCGCCGAGACGAACTTTTCGTTCGACAAGAAGCCAACGGACGTGGACGGACGGACGACGGTAAGACGAAGAAATCCTTTCCAATCGTGCAGCCATCTGTATTCAATCGATTTTTTCTTTTTTTTTTTTTTTTTTTTTTTTTTTAGATCTCCGACAACGACGAGGACAACAACGACGAACCGGAGGAACCAAAAATGTCCAGCAAAATGGAGATCACTTTGAAGAGCGCGACTCTGCCAAGACCGCGAAAGACGAGCAAAGCCGAGATCTCTCTGACGAGCGTGAAACCCTCGAGGTCCGAGACACCGTTCGCGTTCAAGTCGGAACTCGAGGCGAAGATCGACGCGTTCCAGCCGCAGAAACTGCGAACGCAACGATCGGAGGTCGCGTTCCCCGTTGCAGCCGCCGTGCCGCAAGCCAACCGGAGCTCCAGCTTGGAACCAGAGATCAGACCGAGGGGCGGTGGTACGCCAAAGGAGAGAATAATTCCTATCCAGGTATCGAGCCGACTAGTCGAACCCTTAAACTTAAAACACAATTGCCACGCCGGTTTCCCCGAGGGGGAAATGACTTTTAATCCTTATCCTAACGATTTACGATTTCACAGGTGGAAGCGGATCATCGGCAGTCGCAACACTCGTCGACGCCCCCGCCGTGCAAGCCGCCGCCGATGCCGCAAAAACCGACAGCTTCTTCGCAGCGATCGGGATCGTTGTCTCGTCAGTCGACCGCAGATTCCGACACCGACAGCGCCCTCGGATCGACCGTCGGCCCCGAACCGATCCGAAAGAGCCCTCGCGAGTACATAATCCCGATCGCTGTGGAAGGCGGTGGATACGTGACACCCAGATCCGGTAGCGTAGAGCCCGAGAGCAAGACCGGCGGTGGCAGCAGCACGTCGTCCAGCGCGACGAACGCCGTTCCCCGATCCCGATTCGGCAGACCTCGAAGAATGAGTTCCTTGCTGTCGGACGCCAGCGAAGACGAGTCACCGTTCTCCTCGTTGCAGAGGTAAGGCTCGATTTCTTTGCGCCCTTCGACCATACGTCGATGATACGTTATCAGCAGTCTGGGATGAGAAAATATTTTTGCAAATTGCTTCTCTCCCCAAGAGTGAGGCAATTGTCTACTGCTGTTACAGCGAAGGGCAGGTATCAAGGTACCTCGAGTTTCAAGGTATGAAACATAAGAATATGGCTGTATGTGTGTGCGCGAGGATGAAGGTTTTGAGAATGAGATTTTGAGTCGTGGAAATCTAGTGCAGGAGTGGCTAGAAACTTTTCTATCCTACTGTGCCAATTTTTTCTCAGGTGAACCATCAAATTATTTTAACAACAAAAACGTATTTACGAATGGTAAACGTATAAGAAGCGGAAAAAGACAAAATAACTTACTCTAATGAATAGTAGTAATAATAATAATAATAATATCTTACTGTAATACTAACTCTTGCTCTATGCGCCAGCAGAATTGGCCACCCATGCTCCAGTGAGAGTTTAACGTCTTTTGTTGTCATCGCCGTTTCTGGACATTTTCTTTAATTCTTAAATTGATAAACTATTTGTTTATACTTGTTGCAAAGCACGTAAGTTAAATTTGTATTGTTTTTACGTATGCCAGGGACAGCGAGGATCTCCTGCAACGACACATGCACCGGCTTAGAAGCTCTCGGCCGTCGAGACAGCCACCGGAACACGCGGACAGCTTGTCCTCCGGCGAGGACGACGACGACGACGGATTCGAACTGTTGACCGCCGAGAATCTGTTCTCCACTCTGTTGTCCAGAGTGCGAAGCTTGACGCAGAGGCTGAACGTCGACGACAATCGCACCACCGGCTTCCCGAGTTCGCGACTCTTCGGTAGACTAGGATCCAATCCCTCGCAAGCGTTTTGGGGCCTCAATAAACCACTGTCGAGGTAATTCATCGGCGTCACTTACTATTGTCTACCTTTTGTTTTCACGCGAGATTGCTTTCCCTTCGAAGCAGCGATTCCCTCTCCCGAAAAATCTAGTGCACTTGTCCTTTTATAGCATAGTAGCTGTCTGTGTTTTTACAGTAGTGTCCACTTAAGCGTCCGTCGTTATCCCCACCAATTCTTCGAATTGGGACTACTATCCCCACTCTACGCTACTCTAATCTGTCCGTGCGGCCGCGTGAAACATGAAACGAAACAAGCGATACGTAATACCGATATTTCAGCACGTTGCGATTGTTTCCGACACATATCGATCAAAGTTAGGCAAATTTTATTATTATATTAAATAACAAA